CGGCACGGCGTCGGCGCGGCCAGCTCGCTGGATGCCGCGACGGCGCCCTTGCTGACCGCCCTGGCTCTGGGCGCGGTCGTTGCCGCGACGGGGGAGGTCACCTTGGCGGGTCTGCCCAGCCTGGTCGCGTTCGTGGCGCCAGTCGGCCATGCCCGCCTCGGGTCGCCCAAGGCCTGCCCGGTGCGCGGCGGGCCGCTGGCGCATGCGCTCGCGGGCCCGGGGGTCGCCACTGTGGGCACGTCGCGATCGACGCTGAGTCGCGCGACCCCTGCCAGACGAGGGGGAGCTTCGAATCGGCGTCGGCGGCCGCCCGGGGGCTCTGGATCGGGCGGCGCGCGCCGACTCTCCGCGCGCCCTCCGAGGCGAACCGCGGGAATTTCGCGCCCGCCAGGGTGCGCGCGAAGGTTCGCCAGGCGTCGCTGGAGCTGGGGCTGCTGATGGAGTCCCCGTCCACGTGCGTTCTCCGCCAGATCGCCCTCGTCCAGGCCGCGGCGCCTGTCCCGCGGGCCGCGAAGCTGGCGCTTGTTCTGATCAGAAGATTGTCTCCCGCGTGAGGTCGGCTTTTCGACGTGCCCACCGGCGGGCTTCCGCCGCTGTCGACTCGTTCTGGCAGTGGTCGGGCCCCAAGAGGCCCCCATTTGCAAAGCGTTGCGTCGGCGCGGTTTCGGGGCCCCCAGTTTTGGCGCAGGTCGAAACGTGTGTCTCGGCCTCACGAAGCGAGCCGTCGAGGATCGAAGCATGGGCTGGATTCGATCGTCGGCCGCGCGTGCCTGCTAGCTTTCGTCGGCGATGATGCTCCAGGATTGAATCTGGGTCGCCGCCTGCGCGCTGCCTCGCGGATCCGCGGGGCCGGGTCGCCCCCGCGAGTGCCCTCGCTGGGTTCCCGACCTTTTTGGCCGACGACGTAGAGATGAAACCAGTTATCATAATGATTAAAGCGCGCACCGAATACTATGTGCCAGCATGCGTGGAACACCCCAGGGCCAGCCTCGCTGCGGCCCTTGAGTTTCAGCCGTTCGCTGGAAAAGTTCGACGGCCACGCGGCCGAGGGTGTGGCGCGCACGCATGAGGATTGCGCGCTTTCCTGTCAGAGCTGTTGAGCTCGTCGTAGAACCCCTCCCTCCTCAATGCCACTGATGAGTTGTCGCGGTCCAGAATGTATGAGCTATGCGGCCTTCGGCCATGATGCAGTGTTACTCAATGCACGTTTGCTGTCTGTGTGCGACTGCAGGTCTCAGTCGGAATCGGTTGCAAGCTTTCCTGCCGCCGTCAGCTTATTGAAAATGAAGGACGCGAGTGTTGGAATGGCCACGGTGCCCGCCCGTCGGCATAGTAACAATTTTAGTGTGTCATGTGCTGGAGGAAGGGGGAGTGGAAGCACACTCGCTGAAATTGTGCTCAAGCTCCCAAGCCCGCCCGCCTTCGCTTGATGGGGTGCTGTTTGTGTATGTGCTGCTCGTGTGTGACTGCAGGTCTTTCTCGGAGTCGGTTGTCAGCCTTCCTGCCGCCGTCAGCTTTTGTAGAATTCGGGAACCGAGTGTTGCAATGGCCATGGTACCCGCCCGTCGGCATTATCATCATCAGCATCATCATCATCGTCCTCAACATCATCATCACCATCATCGCGAATGTTCGTTTTCACGTCAGTTTCCGCATCATCCCTTTTTTCCCTCCGCGTCGTCAGAATCATAATCGTAACATCCACGAAACAATGGCAATGCGTAGTCCTTCTCACCACCTTCGCCTTCGCCATCATCACAACCATCCCGCCTCCCTTCCGCATTTCCCTCCCCCTTGCCCCGTCTGCTGTTCATCCTTTCCCAACCGTATTTTCATTCCGTTTCTTCTCCCATCATTCATGTTGTTTGTCGCTCACCTCCCTCGCCTCGGAAATTGGTGAAGAAGAGAACAAGGTGAAGGATCCCAGTACGTTGTAACACTCCCCAGGCCAACGCTAGAAACTGAACGCGCGCGAAACGCGCGTGGTTCTAACACATATATATATATATATATATGTGTATGCATATGCATATGTGTGTATATGCATATAAAGGGAGATCCCGGGCTCCAGCCCCGGACCGCTGCCCCACTTGTGAATTCTGGCCCCCGCCCCCAGGACGGTTCCCCCAGCCGACTCCCGGACGTCGGAGACCGCCCACAATCGATCCAGGGACGCCCAAGATGGTATCGGCACCGACCAAGTGGCACTCATGAGTAAGGAGGCACCGAGCCAGCACTGGAGACTCAGAAGAGCGGCCCCAAGAAGGCCCCGAGAGGTTAGACATGAGTTTTCCATGTGTTTTTGTTTCATTGTTTTGTTGGTTTCCCCACATGTTCGATGTTCCGATGTGCCAAGACGGCCCGAGAAACCCCCCAAATGGCCCCCTTGCGTCCTGATGCGCCCCCGAAGGGAGTTTGAAACGGGAAAACGTGAAAAGGCGACACGCATTAGAAAAACCATTGGAAATCAACGATTTGACCCTCTTTGGGCTCTCTCGGAACGGCTCTCGCAGCTCTCTTGGGTTGTTCTTGGAGCCTCGTCGGGGTCTTTTTGGGTCCTCTCAGGGATCGGGGGTGTGTTGGGGGCCTCTGGGGGGTCACGGAGGCCTCTCGGAGGTCTCTGGAAGCATCCTGCTCCCGCTCTTGGGCCCATCTTGGGCATGTTCTGGGGTGGTCTGGGGCTGTCCTGGACGCCTCTTCGGCAGTCTTGGAGCCTTCTTGGCCCGTCTTGGGGCCGTTTTTGGGCCGGTCTTGGGAGCCTCTTCGGCGCTTTTGGACCATTGGAAGCTCGAAAACGCGAGAAGCCAAAAACATTGAAACAACTTATGGAAATCTACGATTTTGGCCTCTTCGGGCCGTCCCAGGACGCCTCTCGGACCTCTCTTGGGTCTCTTGGAGGCCACCTGGGAGCCTCGAGAGCCGTCGGAAGGCTGACTTGGGTTGCTGGGGAGCGTCTTGGACCATCCTTTCGCATTTTGGGGGCTCCTGGGAGGCGTCTTGGGCCCTCCTGGGGCGCTGTGGAGGCTCTCTGGAAAGGCCGGGGGAGCGGTACCGGGAGCCTCCCCGAGATGTCACGGGGAGGTGTGGGACCCAGGGCCGGGGGGTGCGGTATGTATTTCTATTACATATGTACATACATACATACATACATACATACATACATACATACATACATACATACATACATACATACATACATACATACATACATACATACATACATACATACTACATACATACATACAATACATACACACACCATACACACATACGATTACAACATACATACATACATACATACAATACAACATACATACATACATAACATGCATACATACATACTTACCATACAATACAATACATACATTCATAACACACTACACATACATACATATATACATAAAACATGCATGCATGCATTGCATGCATAGCATGCATGCATACAAACATACTTACATACGTTAATATTATATGTGGAGTATATATATATATATAGATAAAGAGCGTGTTCTACCCGCTGCTGGCGGACGCTGCTGGCGAAAACCGGGGGTCACTATCCGTTCGAACCCCTCCCCCCCACCACCCCTCCGGAAAACGGAGGGGTCACTACCGTTCGAACCCCCCCCCCCCCGTTCATCATGAAAAGGGGGGGGGGGTCACTACCGGTTCGAACCCCCCGCCCCTCCCCCCCCCCCTCGAAAACCGAGTGGGGGTGCGGACAGTGGTGGGGACGGTGTTGGTGGGGACAGTGGTGAGGGGACAGCGGGACAGTGGTGGGGACAGTGGGACAATGGGACAGTAGAGGGCCGGTAGTGGTGGGGACAGTGGTGGGGACAATGGTGGGAACAGGGGGGACAGTGGACAGTGGTGGGGACGGTGGTGGTGGGGACAGTGGTGTGGGCACAGTGGGAATGAGGTGGAAACAGTGGGACAGTGGAGGGTACAATGGTGGTGGGGACAGTGGTGAAGGCGGTGGCGAGGACGGCGGTGGGACAATGGGACAGAGGTACAGTGGGGACAGTGGTGGGGACAGTGGGGACAGTGGTGGGAACAGTGGGACAGCTCAGTGGGACAGCGGCGGAGTCAGTGGGACAGTGGGGACAGTGGGGATAGTCGGGCAGTGGTTGGGGCCGTGGAGACAGTGGGGAGAGTGGAACCGTGGTGGGAACAGTGGTGGGGACAGTGGGGACAGTGCGACAGTGGTGGGGGCACTGGTGGGGACACAGTGGGGACAGTGGTGGTGAGGACAGTGGTGCTGGGAACAACAGTGGGGGATGTGATGCGGACGGTGGTAGGGACCGGGAGTCGTTTGCTGGCGGTGAGTGGGGGGGGTGGGGAGGGGTTCGAACCGGTAGTGATCCCCCCCTTGTTTTCTGGAGGGGGGGGGTTCGAACCGGTAGTGACCCCCCCCGGTTTTCCGGAGGGGGGGGGGGTCGAACCGGAGTGATCCCCCCCGGTGGAGGGGGGGGGGAGGGGAGGGGTTTTGCCGAGGGGGAGGGGGGGGGGTCCAGCAGGGGGGGGGGGATTTTCGGTGGGGGGGGGGGGGCGACCCCCGGGCTCCAGAGGAAAAGGTTGGCAATTTTCCACAGTAAAGCGGCGGTGGATCACGCTCTCTCTCTCTCTCTCATATATACATATATATATATATATGTATATAATATAGTTAATATAGTTCATCTCGTACACTGGACCATCGACATGTTGCATAACACGTGTTACACACCAGGCGTGCAAACACACATTGTTTGGTTTCCACGCTGGCAGACACGTTATGGACGCTATGCTTACCGATTTGCATCAAACGCCTGACGTGACGACACGACGGCACCCACGACACGGCGACGACGTCACCCACGACGACATTAGACGCTTGGTGTGGCGACACGACGATACTACGCCGCCATGATACACCATGACGTCACGACACCGTGACACCCAATCGCACCCTGACAATACCACACCACCGCACCGCGACACTGCGGTACCGCTGCGCCGCGAGGCCGCGACACACCACGACACCACGATATCCGACACCCCCTCACGACACCCGACAGGTCTGACCCGCCGACTGTTCAGCAGCAGGATGAGTATGAAGATATTTCCCGTCATCCACCCTTCGCGCGCACGTCACGAAATATCCAGACATGAACTTCGACCTCCTGGCGGGGGCGGCCTCAAATGGGCTTCCACACCTGCAACCTCCACGCCCTCTGCCCCTGCCCCCCGAGGCTGAGCCATCATGTGGCTATGGTGTGATAGAGTTGATTTCATATTTTGGGAACGCACTGAGCACTCCCAGGCCATCATTGGGACACGTTGAGCAATAGGGCTATCTTGGAGCCTCAGGAGCTCCAGGGAACGCAGATCTTGGGACATCCTAGGAGTAAGACGCGGACAGACAGAACACTTTGAAGACACAATTGTTGTTCAATGTTGTTTGCTTCCTCGGAGGCGTGTTTGGAGCCCTCCTGGGCCATCTTAACGCTATCTTCAGGCGGCTTGGGCTCATTAGACCTGTTCGAGGGCGTCTTGTTGGCAGTCAGCAAGGCTCCTGGGCTCTCTCGGCCCTCTGGTTGCGTACCCACTGGGATCCTGAGGCATCTTGGAGTGGCCGAGGCTGAGGACCACCCCGCGCAGGTGGCTTGTTGGGGGCTGCCGCGGGCCTCCAGCAATGGAGACACGAGATGTGACACATACGGCTTGTCAGGGTCACGCTGTTCGAGACAACACCTCTCTGTCTTGCAGTGTCGTCCAGAACGTCTGGCCAATGCGCATTGTGAGTCGACATGTTCGTTGCATGGCCCTGCGCCCCCCCTCCTCTGTAAGACGAGGAAGGAGCATTGAGCAAGGAAGTGCAGTGGAAGTCTAGACGCTTCGCGTAACCCCACCAGCCCACCCACAAAGGATACCCAGACGAGTTGCCATGGTCAGGGATGTGGAGGAGCATTCAGTGGAATAAACGGATGGGTAAGACGTCATACCCCAAGAGGGGGAGGATGGAGCAGGAATCGCAGGAGGAGGAGGGAGTGGGGGAGGAGGGTGGAGAAAGGGGAGGACTAGGCGGATGCTGAAGAGGAGGAGGAGGAGGAGGAGGAGGAGGAGGAGGAGGAGGAGGGCGAGCAGAAAGGCCAGAGGCCTCTTGGATGCCGTTTGGAGTCTCTTCGGATGTCTTTCGGGAGGTTCTTGGAGTCCCCTTGAGGCATCTTGGGGATCTCTTGGCAGTCCCGGTGGCCTTTTGGGGTGTCTTGGACGCTTGTGGGGAGCCTCTTGGGGGTCTCTCGGGAGCCTCGTGCGGGCACCTCTGGGACGTCTTTTTGAGTCTCTTTGGGCCTCCTGGGCGCCTCGTGGGGCCGTCTTGGGGAACCCTTGGGAGCCTCGGGGATCATCTTGGGGCCACCTTGGAGGTGACCGATCAAAGAAGGAGGCGGAGTAAATTCTAGACGCTTCGCGTATCCCGACCAGCCCTGGGTCGCTGCTGCCTGCCGCCTGACCGCGGCCCCGCGCGCGCCCGCTCCCTAGTCGCGGCCGCAGCCCGACCGTGACCGCCTGCCGCTGGCGCTTCCGCCTGCGGCTGTAAAACAAAAAAACAGTATCCCGACCAGCCCATCCAGAAACGATGTCCAGGCGAGTTGAGGTGATCAGGGAAGTGCGGCAGCAAAGAGGAGGACGGCCGAACCGTGCAAAGGAGTGAGGAGAAGGAGGAGGTGGATGGATGGATGGATGAGGGAGCGGGAAAAAGGAGGATGAATATGATGAGGAAGAGGAGGCGGAGGAGGAGGAGGATGAGGAAGAGAAGGAGTAGGAGCAGGAAGGAGGAACAGGAGGAGGAGGAGGGCAAGCACAAGGGCCAGAGGTCTCTTGGATGCCTCTCGGAGCCTCTTGGGGTATCTCTTGGGCGATTATTGGTGGCCTCTTGGGACGTCTTGGGGGTCTCTTGGCGATCCTGGGGGGCTCTTCGGGGTCTTGGGTGCCTCGGTGGGGGCCTCTTGGGGCCGCTTTGGGTCTTCTTGGGGGCCTCCTGGGGGCCTCTTGGGGGCCTCTTGGGGCCATCTGGGGCCATCTTGGGACCTCTTGGGGCCTCCTGGGCGCTTCTTGGGGCCATCTTGGAGGAGATCGGTCAACGAAGGGGGGTTCCTCAATTACGCCCCCCCCCAGGAGGCCAAAATGGGGCCAAAACCATGGTAAAATCAATGAGTTTGGCTTCCTCGCCGAGGCCGTTTTGGACGCTCTAACTACCCGCGGCCCCCCCCCGTCCAGGTCCACGGGGAGGGAGGAGGGGGAGGGGTAAACCCTTCCCCGAAGGGGAAGGAGGAGGGGTGGAAGAGGAAACGCCCTAAACCACCGACGCCCAGAGGGCTGGTGGGATTAGCGCCCCCCTCCCCCCACGAGACAAACATGCGGCCAAAACATTTCGTCAAATCAATGATCCTTGTCGCCTTCTCGCTGAGGCCATCTTGGACGCTCTAGCTGCTCGCGACCCCACCCGTCAGGTCCAGAGATTGGGGATAGGGGGAGGGGTCAAGGCACCCTCCTAGATAGCAAGCCGTCTAGCTCATTCCCACCCGCCCTCCCAACACAGAAGTAACACCCGAGCCTCATCATGTTCAGCGGTCGTCTTTGGATGGACAGCTAGTGGGAACCAAATGCGACCCCATGTGCGCGACGCTGGGGCGAGGCGCGCCACGCTTGCCAGGCGCGCGACGCTCGCCAGGCACCCCTGGGGCCCGAGCTTGCCAGGCACGCCTGGTGCGACAGATGCGCTACGTGCTCCACGTGCGCCGGGTGTGCCTACTCCAGCCTCGCCAGGTGCACCACGTTCGGGGCACGTGCAGAGTGTGTCAGGTGCGCCTGCGCACGTGACCGCACACTTCCGGAAACGTGTCGGTCCCCACCATCCTTGTCGAAAACCAATGCTCATCATGGTGACTGGTGGGCCTGCGCACAGCAGGCCATGCGCCACCACCCCCGCCATCCCTTTCAAAAACCGCTTGACAGTGATCTCGGCGTGGCCGCGCATGATCCAGATTCGCCGCGAGGTGCATTGTGTATGGTTTTTCGACAGGGATGGTGGCCTTGCGCACAGCAGGGAATAAACTCGCACCCACGCCGCTATTGTCAAAAAACAAGACAAGGTGCCCGCGGGCCCCACGAACATGATTCAAAATGTTGCCCCAGATTTTACTTTGTATGGTTTTTTGATCGGGATGGTGGGGGGAACCCGCATCGGGTTGGTTGCGCAGGCTCCGTTTTGTTTTTTGAAAGGGATGGTTGGGGGGTGGGGAGCATAGGGTCGGCATTGCTCCTGGTTGACTGTCGGTCGCCTGGGGCAGGGGATAGGGGGTGTATATCAATAGGGAACAGTGATCAACTTCTCCCCGAGGGGGATGAAGGGGGTTGGAAAAGGAAGCTCCCTAAACCACTCGCCCTGAAGGGCTGGTGGGATTCAGGGTATCGGGTCTCAGTGCTGTCTTGCGCATGTAGTCACCATGTCTTGAGCACATGTTCCTGAAGAAGTGTCATGATTCTCGGTGGGGCCACTCTTGCAGCAGAGCCGAGCCACTGCCCAAGTCAGATGGACGTGGAGGCTTTCCTTGTGCGCCGACCGATTTGGTGACCTCTCTGTCTGAGCCTTAGGCTGCGAAGTACAGTATGCCAATGTAAGCAGGGTGAGGGTGTCGACCCGTGGGAAATTCCGTTCTTCGCGGACTACGCGGACTGGGTGGTCGTTCCGGTCGTGTGCTTTACGTCAATGATGTTTATCCAGGGGCCTTTGGCATTCCGTCAGGGAGTGGCAAGTTCTTTATGACTACCATCCCTCCGCTCTTCATCCACTGCCTCGTATTCCCTGTCCCCTCTCCCTCGTCCTCCATGTTCTTGAAATGTAATGATTGAGCAACTAGTATTGTTGGACCCCCTGTATCCGCTTTTGCGCTCTCGTCTCGGCGCCAGTTGCATTTTATTTGAAAACGATGCTTCCGCTCGAGCGTTTCTGGATGGCTCCCAGACCAGCACCCCAACAACAACAATAACAACAAAAACAGCAGCAACAACAACCACAACGATCCCGCTCGATACTTTGTACTTCGCGCTTTACTCAAGGACCGGTGCGCCTGCTCGCTGCCAAAGCCGGCCCTCCAGAATCAGCGCTCCTGCTCGATACATCTTTGTTTTTCCCCAATCCTCCTGTGTGTTGGGCCCTCGTTTCGAAATCGCAGCGCCGCGCGTCTTCTCCTTCCTCCTCCCCCTCCTTTCTCCTCTCCTCTTCCTCATCCTCGTCATCAGCATCATACTCATCGTCGTCATCATGGTCGCCGTCAGCATCGTCGCCTTCATATGTACTCTACCACCATCATTATTCACTTCATCGATTCGCTACACCCCTCACACGCGTCGTGGCCCCATAGGGAGCTCCACCCAAGGCCCCTGCGGCTGCGTGCGCATGGTGTCTCGGGTCCATGTCGCCACACACATCACGTTTCGTGGCCCCATAGGGAGCTCCACCTAAGGCCACAGTGGCTGCGTCCGCATGGTAATTCTGGTCCATTTCGGCACACCTGTCACACGTTTCGTGGCCCCATGAGGAGCTCCACCGAAGGTCTCGCTGCGTCCGCATGGTGGCTCGGGTCCATTCGGCACACGTTTCACACGTTTCGGGGCCCCACAAGGAGCTCCACCCAAGGCCTCAGTGTTTGCGTCCGCATGGTGGCTCGGGTCCATTCGGCACACCCTTCACACGTTTCGTGGCCCATCCGCATGTTGACTCCGGCCCATTTCGGCACACCCCGCACACATTCCATGGCCACACAGGGAGCTCCACCTGGGGCCAAAGTGGCTGCGTCTGCATGGTGACTCGGATCGCTTTCGAAACACCCTTACAAATTTCGTGGCTACACAGGGAGCTCCACCGACAGCCAAAGTGGCTGCGTCCGCATGGTGATTCGGGTCCTTTTCGGCCCACCCTCACACTTTGTGGCCACATAGGGAGCTCCACCGAAGGCCCCAGTGGGTGCGTCCCTGCATGGTGGCTCGGGTCCATTTCGGCACACCCCTCCAGCAGAGCTCAGCAAAGACCAGCGGGGCTTAAGGTTTACAAGGTTTAACAGGGCTGAGCAAATCTGTGAGATAGTGTATGCGTGACGTGTGTATATGCACCACTCGCCGCCACTCGCCGCCGTTTGACCTCTAGGGGCCTTGTTTTTGCCATTGCGCTAAAACGCATCATAATCACACTGGTAGCTGAGCTACCACACGATCCCTGTATCGTACCACTGCGCGCACGTCTCGTCAGAGAGTGTCGCACAACCTCTCTTTACTTTCCGTGCTGGCAGTTTCCCTCGCTGAGCGACCGAGCCATGCGCCATGGCATTTTTTTCTCTTCGCTGTCGGCCGAGAGCCGACGCGCTGACGCGGTCCGAGACGAAAAGTAGCTCCTATATTTACGACGGCACGGTGGACAACTTCCACGAGTGGGAAGTCCGTACAGAGATGCGCATGAGTGCCGCCTTGGCCTCAGTGGATCAAGATACGGGTGCACCACAGCAACACGTGACCACCGCAGCTGCGAACAAGGTTGTAGAAGGCCTCAGAGGTGATGCGTTCGATATTGCCATGGGTATCGGCAAGGACGTGCTTCTGACCCCGAATGTGATCGGCCAGCTGGCGCTGGCAATTCGTACTTCACTCTTCCCCGCAGAGGCGCAAGAAGCGAAGATCCTCTTCCAGGTGGGGCAGATACCATATGGACCGCTGTCGCGACAGCACGGTGAGTCTATGGTCTCGTACATTTCCCGAAGGAAGCGCTGGTGGAAACTTGTCTCCAAGTTAGATCCTAAGATCTTGATGAGTGACGATGTGCTTGAATCCCTTCCCTTGGACCATGCAGGCCTCTCGTCTTCGGAGAGCCTGATGGTGTTGACATCCGCAGGAAACGTGACAAACTTCGACAAGATCAAGGATGTCTTGATCCTCCAGCACGGCCGCATAAACATCCGCCAAAATGGCAAGGGTGAGTCAAGTAAAGGCTCCAGCTCTGGTAAAGTGCGCTTCTCCAGGCCACAACACGCCTTCCACACTACTGATGGAGGATGGTACGAGCAGGGGGAGTGTCACCCTGAGGAGCTGAGTCCCTACGGACATTACGCGTCCGGCTACGCGCCAGAGCACGGCTGGGGCGACGCGGCCTGGGGCGACTACGCCGACGAACGCCCCTGCGCCAACGAGGAATCGCACGCTCGCTGGGCTCTGTCCAGGAGAGCAGCGAGCTCGACGTCGAGGTGGTCGACGAGATGGTCAAGGATGGATGCGCAGAGGAAGAAGCCTCTGACGCGATCCAAGAGGACCTGGTAGCCAACCGTGGCATCAAGTGGAGGAGCAAAGGCAAAGGACACAGCGGAGGCAAGAGTTACCGCCGCGCGCCCTGGTCGCCCAAGGGAGGCGGCCAGGGAGGGCCTTCCCTGGAAGATCGCAGGAAGCGGCTCCAGGAGATCAAGGAAATCTCGAAATGTAAGACCTGCCACGAAACAGGCCACAGGTCCGGGTTCCTCTCTTGTTATCTCTTCTTGCGCAGGTTTCTCTCGGTCTCGCGAGGGGTCTTGCAAATGGCTGCGCCCTCTTGAGTCAGGAAGGTGTCGCGCTCGTGCAAATGGCCGCGCTGTCTTGAGTCAGAAATGCGTCGTTGTGCGCGCTCAGGTTTTCTGATCATTCGTCGTGGTCAGTATGACCCGAAGCGCGATGCGGACTCCATTCTTCCGTTGCACATTTCGCATCTAAGCAGCTGCCCAGCCCCCGCCGGCCGCGCAGCGCCGCCTGCTGTCGTCGATCGCAGCAGCGACGACGGGATCACGTGTGCGTCTGCGCCCGTCGATCACTCAAGTGACGACGAGGGCGCGCGGGTCGCTGCCACGCCTGCCGGCGCTGGTGCTCGCCCCGCGCCACAGGGCTCGAAGTTTGCAGTGGTTGCGCTGGGTTTGGAGAACTTCGAGAAGAACCCGAGGTGCTCGGGGTCGCCGGTACTGAAAGAGTGCACTCGCCGTCGCCATCGCCCCAGTCATGATATGACCACCAGAGGGCACGACGCCAACGCCATCATAGATGCGCTCGGTGTTGCAGATAAGAATCTGTCGAACTATGATCGGCGCGTGTTGCTGGGCGCCAGGGCTCTGGGCGATCCGACTCGCGCGCGCCGCATCGGTCACCATCCGAGCATATTGCGCAATGCAGTTGAGAATGAGCACTTGGCTAGCATCGCTGAGTGTGTAGGAGAAGCTTTGGCGAATAACAAGTCTTCACAGTCTGTGTTTATTGTTGCCATCTGTCGTTCTGGCCGGCATCGCACTGTTGCAGTCATTTATGGTATCAAGCAGTTCTCGAAGCAGTATGACATCGAATCCATTTCTGCGCGCCTGAGGCGTCATGAGTGGTCCCAATGTACTTGTAACAGGGAATGCGATGACTGCTGTCACGTATCCGATTGGGGCCTGGGGCCTTGAGATGGCGCGTGCTGCGACTGACAATATGGTTTCGCTCTTTATTGAATATGTCGAGAAGTTCAGTGCACCGCCGCCTCCAGTTCATGGGCCGCCCGCCAAGCGCAGGCCCCGTGACGGGGCTGAGCTGGCCAGGGGGGAGGAGGCGAGGTCTCGCGCTTCATCGAGCGTGGTTGACAGAGTAGACGACAACGACGCGGCCGCGAACACATCATAACGACCTGGCGCGAACGTCTTGGTGCTGAGTATATCGAGGCAGCCTTAGAGGGCACGATGAGGCGATATGCTGGGAAAGAGCTACAGTTCTATTTGAAGATCTGTCACGAGGGCAACAGGGCGCCTGCAAACTAGCGGTTTGTACGTATTGCTCGTGAGCACGCAGAGACTGGTATATTGCCCAAGTCCGATGGTGGTAGTTCTTCCGCTGCTGCTGCACCGCCGCCGCCTGTCGCCGCATCGTCTTCTGCCGCTGCATCATTCCCTGCGTATCAGGCGCGAGATTCGCAGGGCGATGACGACGACGTGCCGAAGCAGAAGGCTCGCATGAGCAGCGCCAGCAAAGTCACGGGTCTGCCGCCGGGCGAAGCTGCCTCCGGGCACGATCGTTCGCCCTCCTGGAAGGCTTCCTATGATGCCGCCGCCCAAGCGCAAGCCCGCTGTCCTCGTGCCGAGGCAGCCGGGCGGGCCGCCGCCTGCGCGCCTCAAGACTCCCCTGCCGCCTCCGCCACCGGAGCCGCCGCGCAGGGTAGAGCCGCCGCCGCCACCGCCGCCTCCGGCGAGTGCTGTTGCCGCCAGCAGCGACGACGAATCGAACGAGACTCGCGCGTCTCGCGCAGGGTCCCCGACTTCTCCTGTCGAGAGGGACCTGGCACCGGTGGGTGGTGATCGGGCCAGAGATCCAGTCGCGGTGGACTTCGAGCCGATTGCAGTTGGCGCAAAGCAGCTGGATTCGCCTTTCGAGCAGGCCAAGAATCAGGGCAAGAAAAGGAACTTCATCACGCACGTTGATCCTCGATCGTTCCCATCAGAGGCGTCGGCTGGCCGCGCAGACGAGCGGGGCGCTGAGAAGTTAGCGCGTGTGAGCTGCAATATTGAACTGTTCAACACTCAGATCAAGTTCCCGCCGGCACGGTCTTCCTGGAAGAAGAGTTCTATGGGTCGCACCAAGGACGCCCAGTCCTGGAGGCGTATAGAAGATGGTGCTGCCGTTAACTCTTCTGTGGATGCTGAAGAGCACGGTCGAGTAGCAATCTTCGCGCAGCCTCCGAG